AATGGGAATTAACTCATTGTTCTCATTTATTATCACAGTGACTCTAGACTTCTTGGGTACAACTTGGGTAGGACTTACCCATTTGCTGTCAGAAATAGGATAAATGATTTCATTATCTAGAAGCTTAATGACTTCATTTTTCACTACTTCTTTCATATTAGGATTTAGCCTTCGTTGCATTTCTCTAGAGGGTTTAGCATTTTTCACTAAATAAATTCTATGTGTACAAATCAAAGGACTAATTCCTTTTATATTAGCTATGGTCCATCCTAATGCATTTTTGTGCATTTTTAGAGTTTGTAATAACTTACCTTCTTGATGTGCATTAAGTTTGGAAGAGATTATTACTGGAAAAGTTTCATTTTCTCCTAAAAATGAGTATTTGAGATTGGATGGCAACGGCTTCCAATCAGGTTTTGGTGATTGAACACTTGAAGGTATGGACTTAATTGATCGTGGTGGCAATTCCTCAATTTGTGGCCTCCAATTACTTGTCTTTGATTCTTCCTGAAAATAAATCATTTGCAAATCATTAGATTCATCAATCTCAATTTCACTGGAAGTGGTTGGAAATTGATCATGAATTAATTTTTCAATAAATTCCACTTCCTGTAAATCATTATCATCTCTAGGTTGCTTGCAAATGTTGAAAATATTCATCTCCAATGTCATGTTTTCAAATGATAGCTTCATCAGTCCATTCCTACAATTAATCAATACATTAGAAGTTACAAGAATTGGAACCACTTGAAAACATGAGAGTTGTAGACAATTGTCTCAGATATCTTGTGTAAAAAATTCAGATCATTTGGACTTCTAGAACTCCATATATGGGCCAAACATTGAACAGTGCTTAGGCTGGAAGACAGATTCGGACTTCTTTGTTGTTGCTCCAATTTGAACTTGAAAATGACCTTTTTAGATATTGGGCTCCATATAAAAGTTGTAGGCCTATGTCTTACCTTTCCAGTCATATAAAGTGGACCTAAATTGGAGATCTATAGCTCTAGATATGATCCAATTACCGAACAGTGTTCCGGTTTGAACTACACCAGCATCTCTTTTCGGAGTTTAGCCATCTCTTTGTCCTTTCAATTTCAGTTCTTAAATTCATCAGTCAATCCTTTTATTTATGTGATAGGCCTACATTTAAAATAAATATTTACCATAAATTAAAGGTATCTTATATTATTAGATACGTTATTGTAGAACATGCTTTAGTTAAGGAGTTATTGATACTTCAAGTGCAAAATGATGATATAAAATCTTGATAAAAATACACTTTTAAGTATTAATCATAGAAGTCTTACAAAGTGAATTTTATTGGCCCACCATATTCAATGAATCACATGTATTCTGTAAAACCTGTGAAACTTATCAAAATGTGGGATTTATTTCAGAACATAGAGAATCTTTAGATAATATTCTATTGACTCTTAAGTCTCATCATAGTCGAGATAAGTATTATGCAATTGATGACTTATGAACCCATTTTTATAAAGAACATGCTTGGCATAGTCTTGGGAATCTGACTAAAAAAGACCATGTTTGCCGGTTTTTAAGAAAACTGGATGGGAAGCCTATCCCCGACCTATAGAAGGCATTTAAGTCGTTCTTAGATGTAAAACCAAGAAAAAATATGAGCCACAATCACAATCACTTATACATACACATGTTTTTTTGAAACCGCGTTGACATGACCAAAAGATTTATGTATTCTTCCAAGTGCAGGAGTGTCCATATACTAAATAATCCGGCAAGATCGGGGTCAAACCACATAGCGGTTAATTGTACAAATTATAAACAACAATTATAAATAAT